TAAACCCTAAACCCTAAACCCTAAACCCTAAACCCTAAACCCTAAACCCTAAAACCCTAAACCCTAAACCCTAAACCCTAAACCCTAAACCCTAATAAAACTGAAGGCGGGAGCTTACGAAGGGGTGGACGCGTGCCTGATGGGCCATCCCGGCCCTCGTTTCCCGGGCCCCGGGCTGAAGGATGGAGTGGTGGTCGCTCGGTGCATGGCTCGGGCCGGTGTGGACGTGACCTTTCATGGCGTAAATGCACACGCGGGAAATGCGCCTTGGTTGGGCCGTAACGCGCTGGATGCAGTGGTCGCGGCATACACAAGTATTGCCATGCTTCGCCAGCAGACTATCCCGAACCAGCGTATCCATGCCATCATCTCCAAGGGCGGTGACAAACCCAATGTTATTCCGCACTTGACCGAAATGCAGCTTTTCGTCCGGAGCGAAACGGATGCCGATATGGAGAAGACGTGCCAGCGGATTGTCGATGCCTGCGAAGGTGCTGCTAAGGCGGCGGGTTGTTCGGTCGAGTTCAAGTGGTATTTGACCAATACCTCCCCGTGCTTTCGTTTTCGTGTCTTGCGTCCCTTTGAAACTGACCATATACTTTCAGGCTAGAGAGTTACAAGGATCTCCAATGTAGTGACACCATTGCGGATAAGTTCTATGCACACTCCCAAAGCCAGGGCTTGGATTATCTTCGTTCTATGTCGACCGTAAGTGGAGCGTCTACGGACCAAGGTATTTTGCTCACTCGCCCTAGAAAGATAATTTTCGACTCGCACAACTAATAAGTTTTCCCAGGAAACGTTAGCTATGCACTACCTAGTTTGCATCCAGGCTTCTCCATCGACGTCCAAAGTGCCCAGATTGGCCCTCATCATCCCTTGTTTGAACGAGCGGCTGGCTCTCGCTCCGGGTTCGAGAATTCGCAGAAGTTTGCCAGCGCCATGGCGGCTACTGGATTGGAAATTCTTCAAGACGGCGATTTGCGGAAGCAATTGTGGGCGGAGCACAAAGAACGATTTTCTGCGCTGAATTCGGAGTAGGAAACCTCTCTGGACAACATCATCACACTAATCGGAGGTCGTAGTTCAACCGACTCGTGTTTTTTGTTAGCGAGAGCCGTCGATATGAGCATCCTAGTTCCTAAGCTCCTAGCCCATAATCTTGATCCCCTGGCTAAAGGTTACGTGCCTGAAGAATCGGGTGCCTAGGCGGGAGTATATCCAAATATGTCACCTTACCTGCTACTTAAAGCGACGATTTTCAGCGATGATATGAATCTACAAGGGATCTTGCACTATGAATAGGTGAATAGATGAAGGAGCATCGACTTGATATTTATCATTAGCCCCCCCGAGTATCTAATTATCAGCTCTATTTCTGTCGCGCCATGTCAGGCGTATCTGCTGTCTGTAAAAGCTATATACGACTTTCAATCAACCGTGGCCGGCGGTGGTTAGCCTAAACTAAATTCGCTCTAGGTTCGCGCTCGGGCAGTACTGATTACCACGCAAATTCATTGATTAATTACCCGGATTAGGCTGGGCAGCTTGGGCCAATTATCCGCTGAACTGAGTATTAAGTCACTCTCATCCGCGATGTTCTTTTGTTCATGGGATATGTTCGAAACTCCGCCCGGGAATTTTGATTACAGACAATGACTCAAACCAGGCACTGGGTCCATACATGGACCGCGATGCCCATGCGCGCCGAAGCAGATAAATTACCACCGAAAAGATTTGTCAGTCTCTACCCAGAAGTCCAAGAGTCATTTCAAAAGCAGAGTCGATTAATCAAAGTTTCAAGATCCGGAAAACAGTGGTATTTTACAATACAACAATTCGACAAACTGTGAAAATCACCCTTGGGACTGAAGATTACTTTCGTCTCCGATTATCCAACGCCTTTGGCAGCGACGATTTGATTATCAACCGGATGACGGTCGCCCTGGCACACAACAACATATCTGGCAGTAGCAAAATCGAAACACACACGCTGAGAAGCGTTACATTTGACGACGGGCTCATGATGACCAGAATCATAGGCGGAGCGCAGACTATCTCCGATCCCATCGGGCTTGGAGTCCCCCTCCTGAAAAACACAGTACTCAGCATTAGTATCTTCTTGGAAAATGGACAAGACAGTCAAACTGGAATTACTCTGCATCCTGGAAGCCGAACGACATCGTTTTGCAGTTTAGGAAATTGCGTTTCAGAATTTGATTTGACTAGTTCTTCTGTCCAGCCAATAGAGCATTGGTAAGTCGGGTTTGCGTTTCGGTATATTAAATTCTTATTGTTTGGCTTAGGTTCTACATCTCTGGGGTTGAAGTTCTGGTCCCTCGTAATTCTTGCGCATTCGCAATTATTGGCGATAGCATCACGGATGGAAGATGCAGTACGACTAATGGCAATGACCGGTAAATCTAACCCTTGCCGAGGCCTTCTCGTCTCCTCGGTCTATTTATACTGACTGTTCGGCTTTCTAGTTGGCCCGATTTTCTATTTTCTCGTCTCCAGTCAGACCCTGTCACTGCGTCTATATCCATACTAAATCAGGCGGCAGGCGGCAACCGCATCCTCGCAGATGGCATAGGCCCCAATGTTCTTAGCCGCCTTGATCGCGACATATTGGCCCTTTCGGGTGTGGGGTATGTCCTTGTTTTCGAAGGGGTTAATGATATTGGAACCACGGAAGCCAAGGAAGAAAGTCAATGCGCTATAGGCGATCGAATCATTGCCGGATACAGACAGATCGTGACCAGGGTACGCGCACGTGGAGTTCCTATCTTCGCTGCTACCATTACACCATTCGGTAGGAGAAAAGGGGAAATAGTAGTTGATGCAGAGGCTGAGGGTCTCACGGGGTATTCGCACCCAATAAGGGAGCGGACTAGGCAGAGGGTCAATGATTGGATACGAGAGAGTGATGTTTTTGATGCCGTCATTGATTTTGATCGAGTTTTGAGAGATGAGGATGACTTTGCGGTGCTGCACAAGATGTTTGATTCGGGCGATCGTTTACATCCCAACAGACAGGCCTTCCAAGCGTTGGCGGACGCTTTTCCAGTTGATATATTTGATAGATTCCGAGCCTTTTCTTGAAGCAGTTGAAATTTTATTCCTATTGTAATTAAGCTCTTTCCGCTACTGGTAACGAGGGGAGTGACTGTGAGACAGATTTACTGCGAGTTCAGGAGCTATGTACAGTTCCCCAGTCAAAGGCAAATGCGTCTCAATGTACATGAGTTGATTATGCAGCCAGGTAAGTGACCATTGACCATGCAGGGATTGCAGCCTTGAATGAGCCACCAGCCCCCAAGGGGACGGAGGCTAGAGGCTTTAAGTCAAAGTCGTTATTTGTCAGGTAAGGTTTGACACGTAGACCCGATTTGAGACCAGCCATCACCACGTTGACTTCAACGTTTGAATCGCCTTGATTCAACAACTGAGTAGCAATGCGTCCATCTTTGTTTTTGAAGGAGCTGACGGTGAGATTTGCATGAGAACTAGTGGCTGCAATGCGACGAGCACCAGGACGCACGAACTTGCTGAATTGAGCAAAAGCCCAAAATCTCTTAGACGGAATCACCTCATTGTTGATCAGGTTGATCAAGCCGCTATTTGTGGTGGAGTTCTCGGCTCCAATCCAGTAGAGAAACCCGCTAACTTCGGCATCTCTCAAGGCAACTTGGATGTGATTGGCCCAGGTCAGTCCCTCTCCAGGACCCCCGTTTTCGTAAAAAGTGTACGGAGTAAAGGCCCCAGTCAAATCAGCCCACTCGGACTGCCAGGTCTTCTTGTTGGTACTGAGAGGATAAGTAGGCGCGGAATCATATCCATGGCCAGTGACGACGTCAAGGTAGTTGATAGCTGGATCAGGACCCGCTTTCAGACCGGCCATCATCGCTTCTTGGTCATCCCAGCCTATGCCATCACAACAATTTATCTTGAGACTGAGGCCGGACTTTCGGATCGTCTTGGCCAGCAATCGAATAAACTCAGCGGCTTGAGTACCGTTTGAAAGCATGCCAGCATAGCTCGCAGCAAATTGAGGCTCATTCAAAAAGCCCAAATGTGTGACGTCTACCCCGGACTCTTTGTAAAAGCGCGCGTACTGGACGAGATAATTGGCATAAGCCTGCATCCAGTTCCCACTCGCACACGACTCATTGGCCACGCCGCAGAGATAGCCACCATTGTTCTCGTCATCATTGCTTTTCATATAACCCGGGGCCGACCAGGCATCAGCGTAGAGGGTTTGAAGACCTCGAGCGTAGGCTTGTTGCGCGAGAGGGAATTGGCCGCTGTTGTAGTAATCCCAAACATACTCGGGCTTTTTGTCGGGGCCTCCCGGATTTTTCGGCTCGATAGAGTTCATGAAGTTGCTGTTGGAGGTATTACTGGAGCCAATTCCATTGCGCAGAATGGTGAATCCCGCGCCGATATCCTTGTCATAAAGGAGATTTAGGACAAGGGTCTGATTCACGGCGGGCAGGCCATATTTGCCGAAGATATCCTCAGCACGTTGAAAAGCTTGAGAGGCTCCGAAGCCGTCGATTTCCTGAAATTGAACCTTGGGATTCACAGACACGGAGACCAGCGATGGTGATGTGGGCGTTGCTGTGACCCTCGCGACTAGCGCACTAAGCAGGAACAGCCTGTCAATCATGGAGACATTCATCGAGACCGAGGAAATGAAAACAATTGAACTTTTAGTACCGTCTAAATTCTCTACGTAGGGGTTGGATTCAGCTTAAAAATTAGCAAGCCCACCCCAGGTATTTCCGGAGATGGATTCGCATCGTCACAAGCCCCACCAAGCATGAGTAATTTAGCATAATCTGCAAAATAATCTCTGGATAAAAGCCAACTTGCATGTTCCGTCTCAAGCGCTAGCAGGGATCTGTTTCTACAGTAGTCTAGTTGCCCTTCGCTTCGGCATTATCACCCCTCACTTCCACGCGAGAGCCAACTGATCTAGCCTCCGTTGCCTGCGATAATTAGCCGGTTATTTTCGCGAAAATGGCCTTTAGCCCCAATACCCGTGGGATCATCATGTTTTCCCCATATTTTGGTTAGTTTGGGGAATAGCGGGGAGGCGGGGAAGCCAACTCCGCTCTCAAAATGGCCTGGAAGTACATACTCCATAGGTCTATTCGAGTCGATTCCCCTTGTATTCTTATTGAACATTGTGTACCAAATAACGTACCTCAAACATAAATGCTCCGAAGTGGTTCTCCAGCGTCATAGGTAGACCGGTGGCAATTCGCTTACTGGTAGCTACAGGCCAGATTATGATATATTTCAACTCGCCGGTTTTCATTGTTCGCAACCCAAATGCCCTACACTGGCTAAGACTTTGGTGGCTTTCCCCCACGCATCAGCCAATCTAAAAACCCACCAATCATCTTTCTTTGAACCCCCACCCTTTGAATTACAAGCTCTTCTCATTGTCACCAATCGGGCTGCAACTCGCCTCAGTTGGTCACAAGGATAACATAGGCTTTTATGCGGACCGGCAAAATTGGTTGTCCTATTCAGTTCAAGTTACGGCCGTTTGGGATGTGTTGTTTGCCGCTTTTGAGAGCGATGGGAGTAGTTCATAAGAAGCGAAACCCCTGGCACTACGCTGATATCGAGTTTGGTGAGCTTCACATCTTCTTGGATACAACCTGGGATCGGCAAAATCACAATGTCTACCGCACAGGGGCCTAAAGAAGACACCGCTCATCCTGTCACCCACCATGAAGATATTATTCCAGATCACGAGCTTCAAGGCTGGGTTGGATTGGCCGAAGATGCACGGCACGCGACCGCAGAGGAGCACAGATTGAGTTTCTCTGATGCTGTCAAGTTGTATCCCAAGGCATGTATGTGGACAATGGTGGTCTCCCTAGTCGTGATCCTTGACGGTTACGACACTGCCTTGATCGGTTCTTTGTTTGGTTTCCCTGCTTTCCAGAAAAAATTCGGCCACAAGACTAGCAAACCGGGCTCGTATCAACTGGAGGCTAAGTGGCAGACTGCTCTTGGTCTTGCTAGCCCGCTAGGCAATATCGTCGGCATTTACATCAATGCCTTCTTGACTGAGAGATGGGGCCATAAGAAAACATGTTTGGGTACATTGGCCTTCCTGACCGGGGTTCTTTTCATTCCTTTCTTCGCAAAGAATGTTCAAGTCCTCTTCGTTGGCGAGCTTCTCTGCGGTCTCGCATGGGGAGTTTTTTGCACCCTTTCGCCTGCTTACGCCTCAGAAGTTGCGCCCGTCGTCCTCCGTTCCTATCTCGAAACATACGTTGTGCTCTGTTGGGGCATTGGTCAGTTCGTCGCCACCGGTATCTTGGACAGTCTCGTCCATCGTACGGACGAATGGGCCTGGCGCATCCCCCTTGCTGTGCAGTGGGTTTGGCCCGTGATTATAGTTCCGGTCCTTACATTTGCGCCCGAGTCCCCCTGGTGGCTGGTCCGCAAGGGTCGTATTCCGGAGGCTGAGAAGTCTATCAAGCGCCTTTCGTCATCCCAAGATCCGGATCACGCCAAGAAGTCCGTTGCACTGATGATTCAAACTACCAAGCTAGAAATGGCCATGACCGAGGGAGCATCATTTGTTGATTGCTTCCGTGGCAGCAATGCCTGGCGTACGGAGATTGGCTGCATTGTCTGGACTTCTCAGGTTCTGTGTGGCTTTGCCATCACATCCTATGCGACTTACTTCTACGAACAAGCTGGACTGGCTACTACCGATGCATACAAAATGAGTGTTGGTCAGAGTGGTCTTCATTTCCTTTGCACCTTGCTATCTGTCTTCATCACAGGAAACTACGGTCGTCGGCCCGTCCTGTTCGGTGGATATATTGGCATGGGCTTATCTATGCTGATTCTGGGAATCATGGCATGCGTACACCAGACTTCGGGCTTGGGTTATGGAGAGTCTGCGATGTATCTCCTTTGGTATGTATTTTACGAGCTCACAATCGGACCTCTCGCGTTCATTATCGTTGGCGAGATCTCTTCCACCCGACTGCGCTCCAAGAGTATTTCCCTCGCGCGAAATGCCTACAACGTTGCAAACGTGTTCAGCTCCACTGTGGCACCGTATACCCTGAATCCAACTGAAGGCAACTGGAAAGGCAAGACAGCATTCTTGGCTGCTGGTTTCACTATTGTCATTACGATTTGGGCTTATTTCCGCCTCCCGGAGTCCCAAGGACGCACCTATGAGGAGCTTGACATTTTATTCTCGAAGAACCTTAAGGCCTGGGAGTTCAAAGATGCACAAATTGACGATGATGCTGCAGAGAATATTGCGAAGCAGGAGTAGGAAAGTGGATCTACAATTTACGTGAGCTTGAGAATGGCCTTGATGGGTTTATTTTGCGGCTGATCTGCAGTGTGATTTAATGCGAACTTGAATTTTTATTTGAATGATTTATATTATAAGATTCAACTCGAAGACGAGACATGCATGCCTTGTCAGTAGAATGTTCTGTAAAATTCAAATCGACGTGTTATTTCCCAGACCGTGGCGCCGGCACAACTTCGGAGCAAACAGAGTTATGGGTAAATAGAAACAGCTTTTGGCCCGGTGATTGCTGCCCCCACACCCACCACTAGCTGCAGAAAGGTGAAAGAGTCCTATATTACATCCAATCACATGTAACAAGTGCGTGGTATAATCTTAGCCTGTGGCGGGTAAATTGAGCCTATACCAGGATTCAATAAAGTTGTTTGTCTACCCCGCCGAAGGGAAAAAAACACGGATTTGTGTTGTTCTTGAACTACAATCTGCCTCACTTCTCTCAAAAATGACAATCGAAAGCGGCCTTGACGGGTGGCTCCGGTACGCTCCGCTCTCCGCGGCATTGAGCAATACCCAGCGGCGTTATTCGAGCATTATTGTTTTAAACACGGATGAGTCGAGCCCAGTTTACACGGCTGGAAAGGAGCTACAAGATGGGCTGAAAAAGATGCTGCGCCAGCAGATTGATATTCACTCTGAATTGACACCTGGACTCGCGTCGTCGATCGTCGTGGGAACCCTTGACTCATTCTCTTCAGCTGGTGGCAATACAAGTGGCATCCCAGTACTCAAGGAAGATGGTTTCTGGCTAAATTCTCACGCCGACAACGACTGCGTCTATATCGTCGGCCAAAATGAGTGCGGTGCTATATACGGTGCCTTCGAATATCTCATGCGTCTAGCACAAGGAAACTTTGCTTCCATTGCGTCTGCAAGCAACCCAAGTGCACCTATCCGCTGGGTCAATCAGTGGGACAACCTGGACGGAACTATCGAGCGAGGTTATGCAGGCCCATCTATCTTCTTCCGAGCTGGTGAGGTTGTGAAGGATATGACTCGCATAGCTCAATTTGCTCGGCTTCTCGCGTCCATCCGCGTCAACGCTGTCGTCGTCAACAACGTCAATGCAAACCCCAAGCTTTTCAGCGAGTCGAATCTCGATGGTCTACGCCGAATTGCAGATGCCATGCGTCCATGGGGAGTGCGAATCGGTATTTCACTATACTTTGACTCGCCCAAAGAGTTTGGTGGACTACCTACCTCGGACCCTCTAGACCCCGCTGTCAATGACTGGTGGCAGGATATCACAGCAAAGGTATACCAGAAGGTTCCAGATCTTGTCGGATACACCATTAAGGCCAACTCGGAAGGTCAACCAGGACCCCTGACGTACAACCGTACCTTGGCCGATGGTGCCAACATGTTTGCTCGAGCTTTGAAACCCCACGGCGATGGCATCGTCATGTATCGTGCCTTTGTGTACAACCATCACCTCGATGAGTCTGTATGGATACATGATCGTGCGAATGCAGCGGTCGATTACTTCAAAGAGCTAGATGGGGAATTTGATGATAATGTCATTGTCCAGATCAAATGGGGCCCTATTGACTTCCAAGTCCGCGAGCCGCCTTCTCCTTTGTTGGCCAATCTTCGCAAGACCAAAGCCGCCATCGAGTTTCAGGTCGCCCAGGAGTATCTCGGCCAACAGTCTCATTTTGTTTACATGGCTCCTCTATGGAGAGAGATCCTTGATTTCGACATGAGAATAGATGGTAGTCCCTCTCGCATCCGCGACATTGTTTCGGGTGAACGACTTGGGTGGAGCCGCAGTGGCTATACTACCGTCCTCAACATCGGAAGTGATACAACTTGGATCGGGCATCATCTCTCTATGTCCAACCTGTATGCCTACGGCCGTATTGCCTGGGACCCACTCGCAGACCCAGTCCTAATCATTCAAGATTGGACGCGTCTCACCTTTGGCCTCGACGAGAACGTTGTTGACACCATCACTAAGATATCAATGCAGTCATGGCCTACCTATGAGAACTATAGCGGGAACCTGGGTATCCAGACGCTCTGTGACATTATATACACCCACTACGGTCCAAGCCCGGGCTCCCAAGATGGCAACGGGTGGGGTCAATGGACACGCGCCAACGCACATTCAATCGGGATGGATCGTACGGTCGCCACTGGATCTGGGAACTCAGGCCAATACCCACCCGAGGTCGCCGCAAGATTTGAGGACATCGAAACGACTCCCGATAATCTTCTTCTCTGGTTCCACCACGTGCCCTATACTCACCGTTTGAAGTCCGGTAAGACGGTCATCCAACATTTCTATGACGCACACTATGAAGGTGCCGCGCATGCCCAAACCTTCCCATCGGAGTGGGCAAAATTGAAGGGTCTGATTGATGATCACCGTTTTGAGCATGTTGCGTTTAAATTGCAGTATCAGGCCGGTCATGCTCTTGTGTGGAGGGACAGCGTTAACTACTTCTACTTTACCAAATGTGGTATCCCGGATGAGAAAAACCGCGTTGGAAACCACCCATGGCGTATCGAGGCCGAAGATATGCAGCTATCTGGGTACAAGGTCGCCTCTGTGACACCGGCTGAGGCAGCATCTGGAGGAAAAGCCATTATCACCGAATCTAACAAGGCGTCCGGTACTGCCCAGAAGGAACTCACCTTCCCGACTGGGACCTATGATATCGCGGTCAACTACTTTGACCATCTAGGTGGACGGGCCAAGTACGGGATTTTCCTAGGCGAGAAGTTGATTGGAGAGTGGGCTGGTAATCTGGAAGATAGGCTTGGACATGATTTCTCGGAGTATTTGGATGGTCACTCGGCCACCAGGGTTACATTTCATGGAGTTCAGGTGGAAACGGGCGATCTGCTGAAAATTGTTGGTCAACCTGACGGCAGTGAGCTTGCGCCTCTGGATTATGTCTCCATTTTGCCTGAGGGTATTATTGACTGATCGGTCTTTTGTTGTGATATTTTATGTTTTCGGTCCCACTGAAATTGTTAATAGAGGCCCAAATAGCAGAGCATGACCATCGAAACTCATATCCCCGGTGGTTGACTCGGCGTAAATTCGCAAGATCTGGAATGGTCGAGTGCTCCTCATCCAAACAGTATTATGTGTCATTATTAAAGGGGCCTATTGAACACTCATAATGTCATCGTAAAAGGTTCAAACTATAGGTTGACGAAGGTAGATAGCCCGTTCTTCCTGTGATGTTGTACCGCGCTTTCGATCCACCTACCCCATTGGGCCCGATGTCCTCTGTCCAGCTTTATGGTCGAAATGTTGTCTGCTTCAACTCGTCCGCAAGGGATCGTACTGATTACCCCGAACCTATTTGTGGTTCGCCTCTATAGCTCTATTTCGGATGGCCACATCAACCCTTCACGCTTTCGCCGTACCTTGGTTTCTTTCATTTTTTGAATCCTCCAAACCTTATAATTAGAATATAAGTACCCTACCCGCGCTGGTCCCTCTTCTCCGTTTGTCTCTTGACAAAATTTATATTCTATACTTTCCTTTTGTCTTCTTCTTCCGAGGTCTTTTCAAGGATTTCTCTTGCAATCCTTTCTGAACTTGATATTTTCTGAGCTCAAGATTTCATGAGAACTGTAGATCCGTTCAAACAGATCGGAAATGCAGGGAATAATGAATCTAGATCTCACTCTTAACACCATCATCGTGCACTTCAAACTCCTTCCGCTGATTCACCTCATACTGCAGATCGCGATAAGAGCACCGGTCATGTGATTGGTCTCCTTGGGAGTCCTAGAGTACTCGTTCCAACCGTTCCAAGACGGACGCCTGTTTCAATGAACATCTGGTAGATTATTCAGTATTAGGTAGTCTATAACATTCAATCACGTCCCCCCTGCGTCTCTACGTCTTCTTCACCAACTTTTCCAAAGCGGCCCTCGCCCGTTTCTCTCGTCTCTCAAACGGCCCATTAAACACCGATGGCAACACCCGTCTCGCATTCGCATGCGCCTCGTCAAACTCCGGCCCTTTCCACCGTCTCTTCTGGCAGAGCTGAATCGCCTCCTCGAGCAATCCCGATCCCACTCCCTTGCCCCGATACTTTTGCCGCACGGTCCACGCCCGAATGACCCCGTGCACCTTGCGCCCTTCTCGAATGCCCGTGACGATCAGCGCGCCGATGATCTGCTCGCCAAACTTGGTCACGAGAATCGCCTGCTCTTGACCGTTTCCTGCCTCATCCTCCAGCCAGGCCTTGGTGCCCACATGTTCGGCATGCTCAATGTACCCGCCCGTGAACAGTCGCACCACCGACAAACCGGCCATCACGCACCCCGCGCTCGTGGTGGCCATCAAGGGGAGATCGGACGAGTCGTGGTATAACATCTGGTAGACGACGCCGATGACCGCGACCATGGCTCCGAGCCAGAGAGGGTGGAAGATGATAGCTCGCGCCGCGAGTTGGCGTTGTTGTGCGACGCTATCCGCGATCAATCGGTGAGCAGAAAGGATTTCATCTGCCTCGGTCGCGACGTAGGTAGATAGCTCGGGGATTGAATCCGTAGGCTCTGTCGTGAGATCTTTCGAGTCGGTGGCCGACGGAGCCAGCGATTGCTCCGACATGTTGATCGGGGAGGTGGTAAGCTCCGTGAAATTTTCCAGCAGAGAACCGTAAATGCGATGGCCAAGTTGGTGTCGCCAAATTAGGTGGCAATGAGTTTTGTGGTGTAGTCGCGTTGAACTTGCGCTGTAGAGTCGGCGTGAATCTAGAAAAAGGCAGCGGATTGCGCCTGAGAACGGGAGGAGGTTTGTTGGAAGGAGAGACTGAGGAGGGGGAAAAAAAAACCACGACACCGTTTCGGGGACGGGGGAATCCTGGTATTTAAATCTCAGTGGAACTGCGCCCCATCGGCTCTTTTGCTTTCTGTCTTCATCGTTGCGCCTGACCTCCTCGGGGAATCTGGTCGTCATGAACTGTCATGAACCGCGGAAACTCATGGACGGTCCGGACCAGCGCCTTGAGATTCTAAAAATTTACTTTTAAGTCTCTTACAAACTTCAACGGAACAAAACTTATTTTTACAGCACTTGCCATTCATTCTATTAATAAGCTGTGGTATGTGGTATAGGGTATGTGGTATAGGGTATGTGGTATAGGGTATGTGGTATAGGGTATGTGGTATAGGGTATGTGATACAAAAGGAAAAAGGGTTTAAGTTACAGGTCAGGGTACCGGGTACCGAGAGGCACCTGGGAAGTTAAAGCCATGCCGAGCGAGTCCCCATTAAACGGGCAGGGTCTCGGGGTGGTTCTCGTTGGACACCTTCTCAGGGTGGATCATCGGAGAAGGGTTGACGAGAGTGTCGGTATCTTCACCGGACAGCTCCTCCAAGGTCTTGCGCTTGGTCTCGGGGATGAGCAGGGTAGTGAAGCAACCGCAGAGCATGAACAGAGCGAAGATCTGCATAACGTGCTTGAGCCAGGGAGTGGAGCTGGAGTCCTTGGCTCCCTTGTGAACCAGAGGTCCGAAGACACACTGGGCAATAATGGCACCGACCTTGCCGGACGCGGCCGAGATACCGTGCGAGGTGGAACGGTAGCGGGTAGGGAAGCACTCGCCGGGGACGATGAACGTCGTGGCGTTGGGTCCAAAGTTGAAGAAGAACTGGGCCACGACATAGAGACCCAGCAGACCGTTATTGGACTTGAGCAGAGGGTCGTAGGCGAAACCGATGACGATGAAGAGGATGGTCAAGATGATGAAGCCCATCAGCTGGATAGTCTTACGTCCGATGGTATCGACGGTAGCGACGGTCACCCAGTAACCAGGAATGGCACCGGCACAGATCAGGATCAAGTTACCGACGGCATTGCGACGGAAGGATTCGTAGACGGTGCTACCACCAGACCAGCCGATGGCAGCAAGGATGATAGAGTTGTTCAGACCGAGACCGTAGAAGGCTGTAGCCATTGTTAGCGCATTGTCGACCTCGAACGGGATGCGGGAGACACTAGGAGATACTTACCAACGTCAAGGAAGAACCAAGAACCGGCGGTACCCAAGAGGACGCGGCCATTCTTCCACTGCGAGTAGTGACGCCAGAAATCGCCCCAGGTAGCCTTGGGAGCCACCAGTTCGGCAGTGTGGTTCTGGATGACGGACGCACGACGGACCTCGTCGGGGTGGCCCTCACGCTTTCCAGCGATATAGGCACGGACGTCCTCATCAGCCTTGACGATATCACGAGCGATATCGAAGGTATAACGGGGGGTCTCGGGGATCGTGAGACGGTAGTAGAGCGCCACGCACGCGGGCACGGCACCGAAACCGATGACCACACGCCACATCTTATCCACAGCCAGCTGGCACACGCCGGAGCACTTGCCCACGGAGCTAGCCGTCTCCAGAGATCCCTTGAAGCCGACGGTCACGATCAGGGCCACGATAGCCGCGGTGAACTGACCGATACCCTGCATGGCAAAGACGGAACCCATCATTGCACCACGCCATTTCGTGGTAGCGAACCTAGTAGTAACGTACTGATTAGCGGAAAGACTCCCCCAGAAGCGCAACGCGGGTGAAGGACATACTCGGAAGTAATGATCGAAGAAAGAGGATAATCGCCACCAATACCGATACCCATAATAACACGCCAGAAGATGAGGATGCCGACGATCGAGATCGCGGGGGAGTCGGAGGAGAGAGCCTGAGCGAGAGTGGCCATGATGATGATGATCAACTCGATACCGTACATGCGCTTACGGCCGATGCGGTCCGCGAGCCAACCGAAGAGAAGCTGACCGATGACGGTACCACCGGAGGTCGAGACCTTGATGGCGGTATCGGCCGTGGAGGGGATCTTGCCGGGGTTCTTCGCGGCATCCTGCCAGAAGACGACACCCAGCATGCTGGAGGCCAAGTTGATGGCGAAGATATCGTAGGAGTCGGTGAAGAAACCGACACCGGCCACGACGACGGCACGAACGTGGTACCAGCCGAACTTGGCATTGTCAATCTCCGCTAGAGCGAGGCGACGACGCTCGATGGGATCCTCAACATGAGCAAACTCATTGTTGACGTTGCGGAAGGCAGAGTTGCCACCGGAAGTAAGAGCAGCCATGCCGAACGGGGGGACTGTCCGAGCCGTACAGAAAAACAAATAATCTGGATGGTTATCCGATCAGCTGCAGGGGGGGAAAGGAGGAGAGAGATTCATTCCCTTTTATACACTTTCGACTGTCAACGCGCTGACTGGGAAAAGGAATAGAAAAAGAAAAAGAACAAAGAGCATGGGTCAGTCCACGAACACTCCACTGGGGCCGGTCCAAGTCTCTGGGCGTAAAGGCTTAGGCAGGCTTAGGCAGGCTTAGGCAGGCTTGGAGAGGCTTGTCTACATCCTCACGAGCTTGGCTTGGGCTGGGTGGTTCGATGGATGCCGGAGGAGCGATATACTGAACCAGCATGAGAGGTCGTGCATCGTGCGTGAGTGCCGCGAGCTGAGTGGACAGTCGAGCCCGGTCGTGCCAAGAAGGAGGCTTTCCGTGCACCAATGGACCCTCAACGCCAAGGCCGTGGATGGCTTGCCAAGAACTGCCACATTCGAACCGCCCACGGGTCGCCCGATGCGACAATGGGCGTTCGAACAACCAGCTCGACGCCACAGGTTGCGCTTTGCTCGAGCACGTTGACGGCGTCTCCCCTGGTTTGACCATCTAAGCGATATGCACTGACTGGGGAGTAGGAAGCTAGGCACCATAAACGTATACGGAGGAATTGAAGCACGGAGGGAAGGGCCCGTCCTCCCAAACGATGTCTCCAGATCGCCCGGTCGGGCTATCCCCTTGTAGTGAAACAAGGCGCACGAGGCGATCCAAATATAATAGCCAGACAAAACGTGTATTCTCGTTTTAGTTTCAAGATGGACGTACCGTCTCAATGTGGTCGTGAGCCCGGAAAGGCACACGCCGCTGCAGTTACAGCTGCAGCGTTCGGTCGAAGCTTAATTCGGATCTCCCCGCACCGGCCAATCGATCGCGCACGTGGGCCCGTGTTGACCGGGGGAGACCCATTCGGGATACTTTAAAATCTGGGGCCTTTCACCATGACTGGCATCCGTCCAACGAATGACCGCCCGCGACTGACCATCTCACGGAGTATACAGACCACTGCGATGCACTGCTCTGCACTGCGAGACACGGGCCTGCGGCCACACCCTTTGCCCAAAAAAAAAAATCTTTCGCAACGTTCCAGAAAAATCTTCCCTGGCAGCGTGCAGCGTGCATTGGATCGGTTAGGTCCACCTACCTGCAGGCAAGAAAAATGGACGATTCGCGAGTCTAGACTTGACTTGCCTTCTGGTCCCTCGGGATTGGCCTGCGAAGCAATCCCCGTTCGCTCTCGAATGACCGCGTGCCATGAAATCGAAGCGATGGCAACCTTGCCCCCAATGCACCCCGGTTGGAACAAGCCTAGTTCATCGTGATCGGCAAATCAGAGCGCCTCGGAATGGTTCAAATGACAAGACAATCCGATTTCTGTACCAGACGAGATCGTTCGGGGGAAAAAAACATACAGATGTCCTGCAACTACCCGCCGGTCCAGAAAAAAAAAGACAAAAAAAAAAAAAAAACCGGCCTTTGCAGTGTCAAGACGGGGGATCGGAGTGCCCGGGCTCCATGCAGCTCCTCCAGTTCCAGAAGGGAACCCTCACGAATGCCTGGGGCTGCTGATTTAGGGGCTCGGGAAGCCCGTCAGAATGCAAGACACGCGACGATTCCAGCTTTTCTTATCGGTAGACTCGAGTACCCCCTGCCCCGAATGGACCACACATGAAAATGAAATTGAAATTGAGGCTGACGAAATGACTCGAGTGTAATTGTCAGAGTGACGCCTCGTGTGAAAGTCAATTTTGATTGTTTTTGCCGATCTGTGATGCTCTTCCTAACGTTTCGCGATTGGTGACGGCCCGTGACTGCCGGTCAGGCTGTCACGTGGCTCTCACGGTAGCCGAAAAGATCGCTCTATCCGCGATTGGCGGGCATGCGGGTAACTATATAGAATCAAGATTTTAGACCGCTGGCATAACACCAACATTCGGAAGAATTTTGGCTGGCAGAATTTTCCCCATACAGCCGCAATAGATGGTAGGCACGAAGATTATCTCGATGTCCACGGACAGTTTGTGCAGCTTGCCAATAATCCCCCACCGGAGAAGCTCCGATTTGCTGCTCTATATAGAGTAGAAATGGCTTGTGTGGATTGCACTCGTAGGTTAAAGGTAACCTATCTGATTGAACTGGTGGGTTATTTCTCTTTTCCTCTATTCAAGCGCTGCGTCCGATTATCAACGCTGATACTCTACCCCCTAGCTCGAATCCGAGCTAACATGTTCGCGCCAGTGCCGAGGGGAGAAGTCATCAATTCTAGAGTCAAATTCTCTGTTGCGAGATCAGTGTGTACATTACATGGAACCGTCGAAACCTGATCGCTCTCCTAGTGTCACTTCAATTGCATACTCATCACCAGAGTATCCAACTTAGCATTGCCCATGTCAAGCTCAACCCTACGAATGTTCCCGCCGTTTCTGATAGTGTCGAGCCCACACCCGATGTCGACTGGCTCTTCACAGCAGTTCCATCCGCACTACTGGCGGTGCCATCTGTACCGCTGACTGTCGAATTCCCCGTCCGACTTCCAAAAGCCCCCTCGCCACCGACGACCGCACTCGGGGTCGCCGTACTCGAGGTGTGACTGGTGCTCGTTGTCGTCGAGTTGTTGCTACCAGAGGCGACTGACTTGACATTGGTCGTAGTTGAATTGTAGTGCGAACCACCACTGTATGGCTGGCCCGTCGTGGGATTGCGATACCAATTGGCGGGCGGATCGTTCATACATTCGCCGTAGAGAGCGGTGGTGTAGCCCGCGGCCCGGAGGGTATCAATCGTGTATGCTGCAAAGTTGTGGACCGTTTTTTCGTGAATATCGTGCGCGAGGGAGATGAAGCCGCGAGTTGCTGGACTGGCGGATTTGACGCTGCTGGAGAAAATACTCTGGCTATGTGTGTAGTTTCCTTGCCAGTCGACCGTGTCGATGTCATAGTTTGCCTGTATATAAACGTTTTCTTTAGAATTCCAGTTGTGTGGATCTCATGTAGGCATTGACGACTGACAACGTGATAGCCCAGGTCTTTCAGATCGTTCAAGCAACCTGCATTGCAGGACTCATATGGTGGACGGAGATAAGTAGGGAAAAATCCAAGAATGTCCGTCAGAGCTATCTCGTTCTTAACCACTTGATCGTACCGCTGCTGGCGAGTCAAGGTAGACAAGTCTTGATGACTCCACGTGTGACTCCCGATCTGATGGCCCTCATTGTACATGCGTTGGATGAGGGTCGGATAACCAGTCTTCGCGTCATTGATCTGCCCTTTGCCGCCATTGTTACCGACGAGGAAGAACGTGGCTTTGACCCCTTTTTCTTTCAGGATATCGAGTAGAGCCGACGTGTAGATATACGGGCCATCGTCGAATGTGAGGGCAACCTTTCCCGGGATACCGCAGTCCTTGATACTGATTCCGTATTTAGTGCTGCCTATCTTTGGTCGAGGCACCGAGGTAGTATTGACACCGGCAGGAGTCTGATTGGCATCGCAGGCCGGGCCATACATGAAAAGACAGGCCGGGGCATCGCAATAATAGGATCCCGTTCCACACGTCCCCTGGAAATCGTCAATATTCGAGACTGGCAGATCACACGGGGCTCGAAAGAGTATATACATTGGGCCCACAGCAAAGGTTCGATGCGCAGACGGCGTTGTTGGCAGAGGGACCACAGGTCGTGGTACTTCGCTTTTCGAAGACTCCATGGTCGACTGGTTCATTGGTGCCTGCCGAGCCCCAGCCAAGAAAGTTGGAAGCTTCCGTGTTCCAATCTTGGTTAACCACATGGGCGTATGTTGAAACAACGGGGACCAACAAGGCCGCAATTAAGTGAGAGTACATCTCACAACGCAGTCTTCGGGGAGATTGTAAAAACGTTCGAAGATTGTAAGAATCAGGAGAGGATTTCACAGAAAGGTCATGGTGGCCGAAAGGCTCATTTCCAGGCACGCCATTACTACAAAATCAAAGCAAAATACTGCAGCCTTACAATGGTCCCTGAGTATGGAAACTTTGAAAAAAGCATTCTAGAAAAGCCATAAACAATCCTCCGCTCTGTCATCACGACGCTCTTATTGGCATTGTAACCGAGCAACACTACACGTGTCTGCCTAGTCCACACGTGGGAGGGTTCATTCCAGCTACACAGGTCAGCCACCCGGTGCCGCCTGAAAAATTGGCGTTTTGCGATAGACATTCGGGCCGAGCAGGGTCCATGCTAAGCTTTGCCGCATTAGTCGTAAATAAAAGCATTGGAGTTGCCTGGAACGGAAGGAAATAGTTAGCGAGCCGTATAAAAACGAATCACGGCCCCCAAAACAGCGTAAAGTACCAAACATGTAAATATAGTTCGTGGGTGGGCGTTCTCACCTCACGTTTGTTGGTTCAGGGGCGGTCATGATGTGGATATTTCCCCACTTGGGCCACTCTGCCCTGCATGGTGCCATTGATCAAAATTGATCGTCAATCACCAATGATTGAGGTTCGTGTCCTTTGGAGAACCCGCTCGGGTAAAATGCTTCAAGGTCATGAGGTAGGAGTTGCTCTTGAGAGGACATCATGATCGGCGTGATCATTTAAAAGACTTAAAATGTACCGTACGAACGACAGTCGCTACGGTAGTTCTAGTAGCTTCACGCTGACTTTATTGGTCCGCGGGCCACAGGTCCCTGTTTCGAGGGGTTTGACCAATTAAACTTGGGAGTGAAACTCGCGTCAGATATCGATCGGCGTCGGGCCGCATGACAAGCAGTTGGACTGCGACAGCGAAAACTCGTGCAATGGACGAAATGTAATCATAACTACCTAAGTTTAACCAGGTTCTGCCCATGTTTTGTACAATTGGTATACGAAGTAACGGTGGGAACGTTAAAAGGTGCTGTCATTACACCTTAAGTTTGGCAGGTACTCCTGCATTACTTATGCCCACAGATATATATTCCGAAAGGAAGGACACGCGCCTCAACCTATGGGTAGTCTTTTATGGGAGAAAGCCTCTCTACAACCCTTTTTCCTTCGAAGAGCCAACGACGTGGATCCTAGCTTGGTGTAATACTGTGTGTTATCCCTGACATCAATCCTAAGGACACCTCCAGTCGATCCCAGACACGGCCCCATCGACTTCAGAAGCGTACAAGCCGGCCGTGGGAGCGTTGTTGCTCCTATGACCTAAAGTAAAGATCCAGGGACTGGAAAAGTAGTTGAGTTTAAATTTTGTTGACAGAATATAATTTTCTGAACCATATAAGATTACGTCCTAACTGTTTGATACGAGAATCCTATTTCAATCTGATGTTTGGGTTTTTTCTTCCCCTTCCTTCCCCACCCCCTCTTTTATTTTGCCCGATTTATGATTCTTTTCTTTGGCTTCGAGTATTCGAGCTGGATGATCCAGTATCAGTACTGGAATTCGTGTGGCTGCCCGTGAGATTTTGGTTTGAACTATCGCTGCTCGTGGAGTGTGAACTAGCCCAGTGGTCACCAGCAGACTGGGCCAGCGCAGCAAACCCGCTGGATGACATTTTCCCTGCGCTCCTGGCCTATGGTGACATCGTCAATATGGGGCAGAGAACAAGAGTCGAAAGAAAGCTCGCTTGCCGGTGAAGATCAGATTCGAGAGGCATCGAACTTTGTCATCTCATGCGTAGGCATTTTGAGGTTTCACTGCTGTAATATGTAGACTTGAACTGAAACAGTTTGGCAATGCAGAGCTGTCTGCTTTATCTCGATACTGTCACACAGGGCTTTCATCATTGATACGTCAAAGACCTATATTCTGACGTCACACTTCTCCCAAGGCCTGGCATGAAGTTGACAGAAGCGAGACTGGCCCGGTTTTTGTGTCGGTTAGCCTCTCATTTAGCCTCATGCCAGACTTCCAGCCTCTCACTACATCGCTGTTCAGAGGGGTCCCAATCGCTCTTGTCTCTTCCGAAGACTGAGCGGACAACAAGACGGAAGAAATCGAAGAGCTCGAGTCGCGAAGGTTGTGGTATGTGTGAGCATTCATAAAGAAATTGTCAGAATCCAGTCTTCACCCCCTGTGGTTTGAAATCCATCATTATTCTTGAATGTTACCAAGCTTGCGCAACCAAGGAAATTGCAGTCATGAAGTGCGATCTGCCAGGGTGCTGGATAGCTTAAGACATGGCTTCATATATTCTTTGAAGCGGGTCGTAGCAACCTCTCGAAATAGCTGCCCACCTTCAGATTCTTAATCTGCCGCCCTTCTCCAAAACTCACTATCATTGTCAATATCGTAGTCATCGTCATCGTAATCATCATAGAGAAACTCATCATCTTCAACATCATCCCAAGGTCTGTCGTTATTCCACTCCTCGTCTTCAACCGGCTCCACCACATTGAGTATCCATCCATGACTCTCCATTTTCCTTCTGATATCTGAGCTTGGACCTTCCTCATAAACCTCGACGATGATTTCCTGGAGAGATGAAATTTTTGTGAGGCGAGCGGCAACCAGCGCTAATGCCTTAGCACAAATCGTAGGGCTGTCCAAAGAATCTAGCCGGTTTTCCATTGTACTGGTGCTTTCTGCGGCTAGTATGAGCGTCTTCAGATTGGTACAGGAGGACTGTATATTTTCCAGGACATGAAGGCTGTCTTCTTCCAGGCTGATGTCGTTTTCAAGATCACGAAGTCCAGGAAATGCGATGCGGATACACTGAAGGTGAGATGCGTTGACAAAGCCAATAGTATCAAGAAATTGGGAGATAAAAATCGAGAGGGTAAGTTCAAAGCGATTATGGCCATAGAGTAGCGACCTGGCCTCGTGTAAGATTATCGAGTTGGTGGAGAGAAGATTGGGCACCAGTTCATGATCTCCATTCCAAGGATCAATAGGCTCTCTGCGCACTAGGAGATATATGTATATCTCGTTGCGGAGTTCAGCAAGAATACTAAGGAAGCTCACTGGCATCTCTCCCATCTCTCCGATCGTGGCCCAGCAAATTTTCGATAGAATGAGTGAATGTTTCAAGAAGATCATCGACGAAGTGGGGTCAGGTAAAGTCTAAGTTGACGCCAATCACGTGCTAGGTGTGTGCAACTATATCGATGTATACTGAACAGAACAAGCATGATAGATGTAGCTGTACTATTTAGTCGTCCCTCACCATCGTGTCAGAATAATGCCTGAATCCAGAGTATTGGAGATATAACCTTCTCGGTATGCTTCTCTTCTGGCCAGAATTTTGTGGAAATAACGTGGACTTTCGTTTGGCATCAATTTCTTGGCGACCGAGCGGAGTCCAATAGAGAAGCTCGTCTCCAACATCATCCGTGATAAGCCCTTCAAATCCACTGCGGACAGGGTAAGGACGGTATCATCAAATTATATACCCCGTTTGAAGTCAAGAAAAATCCCTTGATATAGGGGTAGTCCGAGGGACGCGGCCTTAGCGTTCCCTATTAAAAAATAATTCAGCGACCCGAGGCCCTTAGGGTCTACCCCTTCTAAATAGAAATCCTAGAATCTAATTTGACACAAAGATATTTCAGATTATTCTTATAAAATATCTAAGGGCCGATCGAATTATCTCAAGATCTGACCTACTTAGAGGGGACAGGAATTCTCGGCATCCCTGCCACCCCCCCTCCCCCGGCGAAGACTTTTTCTCTTTATGAGCCCCCCCC